TACACGGCGTATGAGTAAGATTTATTGATTTTACGAGAAAAATGTTCATATTTCGAAATATGTATCGTTGTAAATCGACCATAGTTCGTTCCCTGTACTATTCCTTATAACGTGCAGTTCCTCTCGTAACTTAACACCGTGTCACACAACGCGTGACGCGTTCATGAATTAATCGTTGGCTTTTTCTCGAGACGTGAGCTTGGGCCGCCTGTGACAAGACAATTGCGTAAACAATGTAAGATCCAAGTGTAACATTTTTTCGTCCATTTGTTTAGTCTTTTTTTTGGTGTTAATTTAGGTGTTTATCTCTATCTGTTAGTTTTCGTGCCCTCGTTAGCGTTTCCGTGCTGTTTCATCCTCATTAGCGCCTTTCTATAGTTTTATTTTCTGCATGTTCTAGCGTATTTTCATATCGTAATTTGTCAGTACAGTTTGTGAGTTCAGTTTGGTCCGCGCTTAGCGCAGTTCTGTTCAGTTTGTTTCTAGCCTCTTCGCGTTTTTCGCAGTCCTCTTTTCAGAAGTTTTCTCTGGCCAAAACAATGTAAGTGTGCTTCACAGTCCTCGTTTTGCAGTTTTGTTATTTCTTTACTCTAATTTACCTTGTAACTTTTTTGCTTTTTTACCGTTTTAGTTTCAACCCACACTCTTAGTACCAAGCACGCCGACTCCAATAAATCTTTTTCTTTTTATTTGGTTTGTGGTGTTATAATTCAAGGCCAGAAGTCTTGCAGGTTTATTGCAGTTTCAAACAATATTTAACATAATAACATTATACACAAAAAAACACAGGGTTTTGGATCACGTATTTATTAAAAAAGAATACCCTTATTATTATTATCCATACAACTACAATGAAAACAAACATAAGATTCACCTTTCTGATCGTGAAATTAATACCATTCGTACTGTTATCTTAGCTACGTTTCTTGCCATCAAGTGAATCCAACATGTCGTCTTTCTTCACAAGCAGTTTGCATCCATTATAGTTATGTTCTTCAGTCTCACGGTAGTAGTGTTGTTCAATAGATTGCATAGAGTATATGCAGTTTGGTTTCAGATTTCAGATTTTGCTTTTTACAACAAGTGAACGTTTTTCAACTAAGACATTGGCATACTCAGCATACAAGGCATTCAAGGCTTTCATGGCTTTCAAGCGTTTGCGACTCAATCCGTTCCAAAATTACCGCTCAATAACATCTTTTAGTGTGGATTAGCTGCGATTAATACGACTTGTATATGCGTCTGTAAGTATTTTGCGCGTTTGCGCCATAATGCTCCAGGAGATCGCAATCCATATACGTTGAAATACAAAATAACTGACCAAAGAGTTTTATAAGCAAAATCTCGTGATTCGTCATGTGACCCGGCCCTGTCTGTGCATGACAACGTCAATCATCATCAAGATAGCACGCGTGATCAGCATGTTAACACCTTATTGGATCACAGTCAGTTGTCATGGTGTTTAGGGATAACACGCGTGATCAGCATGTGAACACCTCATTGGATCACAATTAGTTGTCATGGTGTTGAGGAATAACACGCGTGATCAGCATGTGAACACCTCATTGGATCACAGTTAGTTGTCATGGTGTTGAGGACCCAATGACCTCTGGGTACTATTGCGCAATTTTTCCATTTTGTGGCGGAGGAAAAAAAAAAGACGACAAAAAAACGAAGGCATTTTATGACTGGGCTACCACAGGTTTCCCAGTAATTAAGTTTGCTTTGAAAATTGAAAGTAATGCTTGGGGAATTCAACGGATTCTTTATTATCTATAGTTTTTGATATGGAAATTACAAAAGGTTTTCTTGTCGCTCATGGCACCCTATGAAGCCATGCATTGACTGAGAAAGTTTCGTGATGATGTGTTGGTTAGTTAAGCTACAAGATCAATTTTTTAATTTATTTTTTGAAGCTACTGTTTCAAGTGAAAGCTTTTAAAATATATTTTTACCGGTTTTCCGAGAACAACCACTTTTTAACAGGTTGTCCGAGGCCTTGCTTTGAAGATTGCGTGATAGTCAAGCTCAAGGGGAATTATTTATTCATAATTTTGAAGTCCTTGTTTTACCTGAAGTCTTTAGAAACCCAGTTTCCTTTGCCTACAAGAGGTTGTCCGTAGAGTTGCATTGAAGACAGTTACATGATTATTAAGGTGGTTAACTTCATTTATTTACTTGCTGAGTTTACCAGCAGTTAAGTAGCTGCTGTTGTTCAGCAGCCCCTCCCCTACCCCCCCAGCCCCACCCTCCATTTCCCCCTGTTTTTGCCTTCCACTGATCTAATCACTGTCTGTGGATACTCCAAGCACTTACTTTGCATTTACTTTACGGCTAAACGTGTTAAAAGCAGTGTTTAGACTTGGGCTGGTGTTCTATGAAATCTATGTGTGCGCTTCCTATGGTTTCCACTTCCAAACTACGATTCATTCATTTTTTGGACCTGTGATATACCCTGCTTTGAAATACCTATATCGACCAGCTACTCTGCGGTGGCTAGTATCCTAATTTTATTAATTTTCAGATTATGTAATGACTTGTAGGATGAGCTAAGATTTATTACAATCAGAACAAAAAGCCTAATCCTAATGCTTATTTACATGAAATTGCACGAGAAGTGATTTTATTTCTCATTAATAAATTACTTGAGAAAAACATCACAGAAAGTCAAAACAGACGAAATTTTGACGGCTCGCGCGCGCTATTTGTAATTTGCACTCGTGTTTTAACTTTGCACTGGTGTTACATGAAGAATTCACTCGTTTTCGGCTTATTATAAGAGTGTGAATTTTTCTTATACATTATTACAATTACAACAAAAGATTACCTTCTCTCCCAGAGATTTTCATTGTACACGACAAGCACTCGTGATGAGAAACTGGAATATAACTCTGTTGTATTTTGTTTACTTTTTTCCAGAAGGATAAAAGTAAAAGAGATTCATCCAAGGTGAAAAAATTATAGCATGAGCTCAACTTGAAGCAGGTCTTTAAGGAATACGAAGAGGAAAGTTACAAGAACATTGTAGAACTTATATCTGGCAACCTGCCCCAAGAATTGTTTCTAGAATTTGTGAAAAAAATCTTTAAGCGGTATAAATGAGCGGTTTGGTCCAAACTAGGTTTAGTATTATTGCATTTCCTAAAGACGAGGGCTGTGAATTAGTTTGCAAAAACGAAGATAGAACGCGCGTCTGAAGTGTAATGCGACTTTGACTCAAAATGCAATTGCACAAGTCATATTATGAAAGCACGGATGTGCGAACATAGAGATTTATGTGATCAGCTGAATTATACACACATTATTACTTATTAGGAGACAGATGTATCGATGACATCACCATTAATGATGTTTTACGTCTTTACTGTAGAAAACAAATGAACTCTATGTTGCCGTGGCTCTGTTTAATAACTAATCATGAAGCACATTAAAATTTGGTAAGAAAATCAGTGACACACTCAGCTGCGCATTGTGTGCCAGTTTCTTTCTCTTTTTCCTAAGCAGTAACCCTACCATTCCCCGTGCGTTGCCGCTTAATACAGGTTTGACTGCAATTTGCATAGTAGTCCCTCTCTTTTCTTCTCTTTATTCATTGTCGAGTTTTATCCCTTTATCCTCTTTTCCCTTCTCTTTCATTATCAGCGTAAAGTAGCGCCCAGGAATTCAGTTAAGAGCAAAATTTTGAAGACGTGGATATATCTTTAACATTGCCACTCAAGGCCGTCATATTAAACATGGTGTTCACTTCTGAGCGGGCCAGGGACCTGGGGCACATAAACATCTACAAATACGTAAATGCTCGCAAGATCTGGCGTTGAAACGTCACGTGCGTTTGGCCTGGCCTACATCAGCCTACATCATTTTTTCTATTTACGACTGCGAGGAGCAAAGAGGCTCTCAATCACTAATGTCACTAAAGTCAAATTAGGGAGTGGAGATGACACAGTGGTGAGAGTATTCATAGTCCTCCTACCGTTGCAGCCCGGTGTCGATTCCTGGACCTGCTGGCGCCACGTGTGGGTTGAGTTTATTTTTGGTCCACGTCCTTGCTACGAGGGCTTTTCTCCCTTCACAAAAAACCAAAACTCCACATTCCAATTCGACTTGAAAACAGTGGACAAGAAGAGCCACCTCTTGGAATGTCAATCATCAAATTCTTTTTGTTCTCATTATTACGATTTTTATTATGATTATGATTATGATAATGATTATTATTGGTTATTATTTACATTTATATATATTTACATTCTTGTGCATCAGCCGGACGCAAACCATGCACCTAGGGCATCAGTCACTTAAGTCGATCATTCTGTTCATACACTAAACACCCTTCTGAGGATTCGCGCAGATCCCAGCATGAAGACCTTTTGAATCGTTGTAACAGCAGCTGTTTCTGATACCTATTATTATTATTATTATTTTTATTTTTATCATTATACTATACACGAAATAGATGCCAGAAACTGAAAAAGCGGAGAGAAATTCGTAAACGTTTAAAGATGTTTAAATGCTTTTAAATAGTACAAGCAGTGCAGCAAGAGTTTTTTGAAAAGAGAAAGCTTTCACAGTTTATCCTTTTTCATGTTTTCAATATTTCAAACTGCCTCAATTGAAACTGTTCTAGAGCTTTCCACTTACGCCGGAAACAATAGTGGCTTCAAAATTGGAAAGTCAAACATTCAAACAGTACTTCGAGCTCCGAGCCAGATACCAGTTCCTTTCCTAACTCTATGCATACTATTGAGGTTAGCCCCATACCGACCTGTTCGTGCGTAGGACAATCTATAAATAATTTTAGCGGAGATCACATATTCTAGGCCTGGATCAGGAACATACATCTCTGTCCCTGAAGTTTTATTTGCTTAATTCCATCATGCTCTTTTGACTTTCGTTATCTATTTCATAGTTACACCACGTGATTCAGTCATGCCTATAATATATACTCTAACATAAGGAATTTTACATCAAGTCTAGAGTGTTTGATCTCTAAACAATTTAGGTCAAGGCTCTTCAACTGTGACATTGCCATGAGTAACATTTTTGAATACGGACCAGTTAAGAACAGAACCATGAGGTACGCTGCAATTTGTGTACTGAGCGGCAATGTCGCTTTCGGACAGAACTTTATCCCACATGTTGACACTTGCCAATCGGCCATGAAAAGTTTCTTCAACATGAAAACCTCCGCCAATAGAATCTTGGTCTTGTCCAAGCACCAGGGAGCCGCCAGCCGTAAGTGTGAAGTTCTCAGTGGCATTATTTGTTACCTGTCCGGCAAATTGGCCATCTTTATAGAGCTTCGTTACTCCTTGAGTGTTTTCCCAGGTGAGACACAGGTGTTGCCAGGTATCATCATAGAGATTTGTCGCGGTAAACCTGAAGAAAAAAAAAGAACAAAAACCAGAACAAAACAAAACAAAACAAAAGCAAAGAATATTAATTATATTCGATCATTTAAGACCCTCCTTTTTCATTGTCACTAGGTCAGTTAGCAGAGTCATTCAGTCTGTCAGTCAGTAGTCAGTCAGTTTAAAGTTATATGTAAGTGGCCTGTCAGTCGGTCAATCTGTCAACCAGTGGGTCTGTCAGCAAGTTGACCAGTGACCTGTCAGTCAGTCAATCTTCAAGCTTCCATTCGTTCTTTGCTTTAATTCATTCATTGCATTAATTGCATTCATTCGGTCAATCTCTTAATTTCATCTTTGCTATATCAAAAGTATGATCTGAGCTACTATTTCGAAAGCCGGGTCGGTTAAAAAACCTCATCCTTTTATGGTTAGAACCACAATAAGCGAGTCCTCGTTACTCGAAAGATTTAAATGTCCTATTGAGCAATGTGATCTAAATCAAATTTTAAACAAGGACCCGAATAGTTATTTGCAAAGCGTAAGGAAAATACGTCTAGATTTGTTTTGGTCAAAGATTAACATACCTAGTATTAAAATCACGATAAGAAAAGAGAAAGAGGCCCGACGCTTTCCGTTTGAGTGTTTGTATATTTAACTTTCTTCCTTTCCGCAAAGGGTTAGACATTAACGCTAGGAGGAAGAAGCTGATCGTAGCACTTCCCCTATCATGATTTATCGTGGCTCGATTAAGAAATACCCCGTCCGACTTTAAAAAAATATAGGCAGCATTACCGGAACAAGTTGTTGTCAACATAAACATCTGTTCGTGTTGGATAAATTTCGACAAGGATCTCATTGTGATGTTTTTTGGCATAGCTGACGACTGTCTGAGCCCCTTGGTCTTGAACAAGCTTGATGAAAAAACACAGCGACAACTGGTTGAGATCTGAAGCTATGGCTGGATTCTTCATGGCGTAATTTTCGGTAGAACGCGGCTCCGGAAACACCATGAGGTACTCTATAACAGAAGAAATGAATTCTTAATAAAGAAACCACAACTTTTAGTTTGCAAGACATGTTTCGACATTCTTATGTCATCTTCAGTTGTAAATGCGATTTTAACGGTTGTACATTTGAATTTATATGAGATACGTTACAAATTACGTCATATTGTTTACGTTACAATTTGAATATTAAATACGAAAAAACGTGACATAGCACGCCCAGATGGGGAAAGAAGGAGAAAAGAAAAATAATGATCATAATAAGAAAAATTATTATGATGACAGAATCAAAAGGAAAGAGACAACTCTAGATGCTTCAATTGTTGATTAAGGATGGGTTTGTCCCACTTAATATGCAATGCCTCTTTGATCTTAATTTTGTATTTCGAAGCGGCAGAATCTAAAATGGTGAAACATTCTGTACCACAAGAGTCGAGACAGGCCTTTGATGATTGTAGGTGCTTGTAAATGTGTGAAGTTTTGTCAGACAAGAGGTGCTCACGAACCCGTGTACAGATGTGGCGAGTGGTCTCACCAATATAACTGGCATTACAGCCAGCACACGAAAATTTATAAACGACACGCGAACGTAGACCTGGTGGTACTGAATCTTTCACACTGACCTGAATGTCGAAACATGTCTTGCAAACTAAAAGTTGTGGTTTCTTTATTAAGAATTATTGCCACTCTGCTGTCTTTACGTCCTTTTGGTAACATTATTTACGACATAGCAGAAAAATATAACAGGAAAGTCAGCATCTCTGACCTTCGGAAGTTTGAGAAGACTTCGATCAAAGTAAGCAAAGCTGAGTTGGATTTGAATTTCCTTAAAAACTGTTTATCATTCAATGTGTTTCCGAAGTTTATCTGTTTTCAACTGCCAAACACAAGTAGACACGATGTACATGCTATTCGAAAACGTCTCTTAAAAAGTGCTATAGCCAAACGGAGAAAGGAACTTTGCAAATTAACCGAAGAAAGAGACAAATTAGCGGTGCATATCAATGGAATTATCAGCAACATCGATAGATATGTCTTCCATCGAACTGTGAAATACAATGTTCAAAAGGCTGTGAAACGAGTTATCACCACCCACGAGAAGAAACTCAAAAGATTAACGCGAAACGTAGTTCTACCGTTTACTTCAACGGAGACAGTCACCAACCTCTCATCACAGAATCTCACGTCCGAACAACTGGAAATACTTAAATATGGGCCTTCACATTCTATTTGTCCTAGCACCATCAGCAAAACGGATGTCTTTTCTTGTTTTGAGCTAATTAATCGTACCATGGTCAGAAATATACTCGACAGGAAACTAAAGGGCAAACTTGTCGCAGACCTCTCTCATCTTGCCCACTCGTACGTCTCATCGCACCAACCTTCTGTAGCGGACTTGAAGAAATACAGGGTATTAAAGAATCTAAGGAGGAACAAGGACATTGTAATACTGAAACCTGACAAAGGAAATGGCCTGGTTGTCATGGACAGGAAAGCCTACGAACAGGGTATTTTATCTATTATCAGTGACACTTCCAAGTTTAAGGTTAATGATAACGATCCAACATTACAAAGGGAAGGTAAATTACAACGTTTTTTGAGAACACTTAAAAGTAAGGGCCACTTAGACAAAAATACCTATGAGAGAATCTACCCAGTTGGTTCTCAACCAGCCAGGTTTTATGGGCTACCTAAGATGCACAAGGCTAGAGGACCTAATGAAACACCTCCCTTTCGACCAATAGTATCTTCAATAGGTACCTACAATTACAATTTATCTAAATTCCTTTGTAATCTTCTCGAGCCACATGTCCCACATGAATACAACGTCCGCGACACGTTCTCTTTTGTACATGAAATCAACCAATTATCTACCTCAGGGAAATTCATGGTATCTTTCGATGTCGAGAGCTTATTCACTAGTATACCTCTCGATGAGTGCATAGATATTGCGATTAGGTATATTTATCAAGGTAACCCTGGTCTTAAGATAAACGCCGCTGACCTAAGAAGGCTTTTTGCCTTTGCGACAGCTGAAACCGGTTTTCTGTTTGCGGGAGTGTTTTACGATCAGATAGATGGAGTTGCCATGGGGTCCCCACTTGCTCCAGTACTTGCAAATCTCTTTATGGGACATCATGAAAAAACCTGGTTAGACAACTATTCATTATCTGAAGTTGTTTTCTACAGACGCTATGTCGATGACACCTTCTGTTTGTTCAATAATGAGAAGGACGCGGTATTGTTCTTTGATTATTTAAACACCAGACACCCTAGTATTCGCTTCACAATGGAAAAGGAAATTAATGAGAAATTATCGTTCTTAGACATACTGATTGACAACAGTAATCCATCCATAATTACTAGCGTCTACCGCAAGAAGACGTTTACTGGTCTTCTGACGAATTATTTTAGCTTCACTCCTATGATGTACAAATTAGGTTTAATAAGAACTTTGGTTGACAGAGTATATAAGATCAATAATTCCTGGGTTGGTTTCCACAAGGATGTACAAAACCTTATTTTCTTGCTACGGAAAAATTGTTTCCCTTCCAGCGTCATAGACAGGATTATCTCAAGACATCTGGCCAAGAGCTATAATCCTTCTCCCACGCATAACACCACATTAAACTCCGGAAACCCTTCTTCGCATTATTTTAAACTTCCTTATGTTGGGCGGTTTTCTGACATCGCTCAAACCAAGTTAAGGCATCTACTGAAACGTTATTGTAGACCTGATTTAGATATTAAGTTAGTCTTCAATACGTTTAAGCTCAGAAACTTGTTCAGTGTGAAAGATTCAGTACCACCAGGTCTACGTTCGCGTGTCGTTTATAAATTTTCGTGTGCTGGCTGTAATGCCAGTTATATTGGTGAGACCACTCGCCACATCTGTACACGGGTTCGTGAGCACCTCTTGTCTGACAAAACTTCACACATTTACAAGCACCTACAATCATCAAAGGCCTGTCTCGACTCTTGTGGTACAGAATGTTTCACCATTTTAGATTCTGCCGCTTCGAAATACAAAATTAAGATCAAAGAGGCATTGCATATTAAGTGGGACAAACCCATCCTTAATCAACAATTGAAGCATCTAGAGTTGTCTCTTTCCTTTTGATTCTGTCATCATAATAATTTTTCTTATTATGATCATTATTTTTCTTTTCTCCTTCTTTCCCCATCTGGGCGTGCTATGTCACGTTTTTTCGTATTTAATATTCAAATTGTAACGTAAACAATATGACGTAATTTGTAACGTATCTCATATAAATTCAAATGTACAACCGTTAAAATCGCATTTACAACTGAAGATGACATAAGAATGTCGAAACATGTCTTGCAAACTAAAAGTTGTGGTTTCTTTATTAAGAATTATTGCCACTCTGCTGTCTTTACGTCCTTTTGGTAACAAGAAATGAATTGCAGAAATTTAGACAGTTGTTTGAGCAACTGCGCTTTCTTCAATTAATTTCCTTCCTCAGAAGGATCCAGTATTTGTATGTCTTCTAGTGTTCTTCAAAAATGCCGCACATTTATCGGGGACGATAGTATGACAGTGTTCGATTGTCAGCAACATAGAATAAGACTCAATGCCGCCTTGTTGTCAAGTATTGTACGACCCGCAACTGATAGTTTGCCCTCGCTTTCTTTGTAAGGTAGTGGGTTCGGGTTGCGTCTTCATCAACTATCTAAGGCCATAATGTAATTATTAATAATGCAAAATATGAAGATCGTCGTATAGATGTCGTGGTTATTGCATAGGGTGAAGAAAGCAAAACAGGAAGTTGTCACCCACTAGTGAATAGTCTCTTAGCCTATTGACCTCTTTTGTGTTTGCGTCTGGGTGTGTCCGTGTGTGCCGCGCGCGTTTGTTGCTACTTTTTGCCTTCGTTACTACACTACGACGTTTACCTCATTCGCTATAAAGTGCGCCTGTGATTAAGTCACTCAGTTCTATAATTATCCGATAGTCATAATAATGAACAAATAGATAGGCCTTGGCGGTGTCCTGTTCTGTTGTAAAGCGCGGAGAAAGTGGCTAGAGCACGATAGAAGTATAGGTTGACACACGAGACGTAGTGGAGTGTGTCCCCCCCCCCCCCCCACTTCTTTGAAGACGAAACTGTAAAAACTTTGTGAACACGAAACTATGTATTAGACGTGTTTTATGTTTATTACCGTATGTAAGTTTACGTGAAAACCTCTAAAACTCGGAAAAAAGTTCATTTCGTTTCCCCTTTGAAGATTTTCGTCTCACGTCATAGTAACGTCAGTTATGGCGCTTGGCATGTTTACAAACCTTTTTTTGGCTCATCTGTTGCTACTTACCGGCTCACTTGTTACGAATTTTCACTTTCAATTAATGAAAAAAAGCTAGAGAGAAGTCCGGAAATTGGTCGGGTATAGTAAAAATTGGCAGATGGTGTGAGAGTTTTAGCTCAGCTCCGTGTTTTGTACTCTGATATAGTACGCTCTTTCTACCAATGATAGCGTGCGTTATATCCGAACTTTTTTCTAAAAGATGATACGTTTGCATAATTAACTATTTTTTCTGAGTTCTGCCTTCAACCTGCTACCGCCGTTAATGTTTTCGAGTGTTCGTCCACCATCTTCATTGATGAGAAGGTGGTTGAACGGATTTTATAAACTTAATTTTGTCGAAATACGGAAAATTTGTTACCAAGCACCGTCCACACCGCAAGCTAATCATATTTTAATAGTTTTTATCCTCTCAGACGTAGCTTAGAGGAATAAAAACAGGATTTTTGTTGCTTGTACTTTACCAGAGAGTGGCGCGGTCAACAGAGCGCGCAAACGTCTATGCAAGTGCGACTGTAGTATTGGTTGGGTATCGTTCTTTCAAGTTGTCAGAACCAATTTGTTTAGTAGAAGCTTTAAACCACCACAGAAAATTGTAAGTTTAGGTGTATACCGTTTTTGATAAAGTTCAAATCAAAATGGTAAATTAACAGGAAACACATGATTAAGTAAGTTGGTATCATCAACTGAGCTGATAACATAAACTGACCACTGTTAAGAGTTAAGCCCTTAGCTCTGACCAAGGGCCAACGCTCCAAACGTCAGCTTTGAAAGTCTTATTTGTCGGCCAGTATACGTTATCAACTCAGTTGATAATACCAAATTACCTTGTTATACTCTCCCAGCGACGCAGTAATACAGTCTCTCTAAACTAACGCCCCTTTCCATGATTAAATATGTTTTGGGTTCTAAAAAGTCTTGAAGTTTCCTTTTCCATCCTTTTGCATCTTTCTACAGATTTCTATAACAGTTTCACTAATTTTTTCCGCGTATTTTGCGTGTCAGCGATTGTTTATTATGTATTCCTTTTGGCCTTTGCGTGGGAAATTGGCACGCACCTGGCAAAAACTGATCCCCTTGCGCATGCACGGCTTATGACCGCTGTGCTGGCTCTGTGAGCATAGGTAAATTTGGTTTCATCCGAGTGGAAGGTCTTCTGTTTTCCTAGACAGCTGGCGACTGCGTTCAAAGCGCTCAAAAGAAAATTTCCCTTTTCACAGTCGAACAAATTTCACAGTTGGGTTCACCAAATGTAGCGGGTGTCACTACTGATATGCTTATGTTATGGGGAAATACCTTTTGAGAGGTTTTTGGGTTGATCTCGAAGAATCTTCGATAGATTTTTTTCCTCAACTTCAGGAAAATGTTTTCTCAGCCATATACTCGCATTTGAGAAAATATCAACCAATTAAATTTAGCTCTTTCAAAATTACTCTTAATTTTTCAGCTTCTAGGCGAAATTATTGATTTTTTAATCATATACCGAGCTCTAAATCACGTTTATTGAATTTGTCGCCATAACGTTTCATCTGACGAATTTTTAACGTTAGCCATTACAAAACTTTTTAAAACCATGGTGTCAAATTGAATTTTCACTTCCAAGATCATTTCTATTTTGCCATAGTAGGATAATGACAAACTTCTGTTAATTAATTCGCACTGAGCGCGTAACGGAGGAGATAAAACTACGGTAAAATACAATACATGAAATCATGCGTTATATCGCTGGCAGCGCCTGTGGACAATATGAAGCGAATCCTGAGTTCGAATTAGCTGCCCGAGCGGACTAACAGAGTTCGCAATTTTTGGAAACTGCCGGCGGTAGAGTCGCAAAAATCGGCAGAGGACAGACAAAACGAAGAAAACATAAACTACAATCGTGGATTTATTGTGCTACAAACACAGTTGGCTTTCTCTCTCGGCTCTCGAAGTCAAAAAGTCATTCTTGATTCTGAAGTAATGCACAGTTCTGTATTTCAAGAAAGCCAAATTAGGACAAATGTTATTGAGCCATTTCCGAAACAAAACAAAACAATGTCAGTTAGTGAACGGGTGATGTAATGATAAAAAAGTACCCTTAATTGGCTAGTTTGTGGTTTCTTGTCGATACGAGGAAATGGTTTAAATTTAACACAATAGCTCAGAACCCATTGAGAATTTGTCAGATGTAAGATTATTGTAATATATTTAGTAAAACTTGATGTGGAGCTTGCTTTTACTGTGAAGAGTTAATTCAACGGAGTCATGATTTTTTTAAACAGCCATAACGAGATTTCCCCATGTATTAGCATATCAATTGTGGTTGCCTTGAAACGCCCATTACTTCAAATTTTTAAACATATTGTGAACAAGAGTGAATTTCGTTGGACTTCGTAAAGGGAGGGTCACTTTTTAGCGCTTCCGGTATAGGTGTTTTGGAAAACTGTTTCAAGCTATCTTAATTCAAGGTGGAGTACTAACTGACCTATTTTGCATCTCTGTTTTCCTTCTGGTCCTGATGAGCAGCTGCAGTCATTATCAACTGATGTAAAAAGAATAGAGAAAATTAAGTAAAATGGGAAAATTTATGTTTGCAAAAACAAGTCGGTGTGAAGTAAAGTGACGACAAATGATGGCTCGGTAGGAATCAGATACGACAAGCATGCAGGCGAAAAACTTTTGGAATTATTGTTTTAGAAAACAGAACTTTACCTTTTTCGCAGTGGCTTCCTGTGTATGCTTTCGTACAGCGACACTTGTAGCTGTTTGTCCGGTACAGAGGTACACAAGTTCCATTGTTTTGACAGGGCAACCTCGAGCAAGGAGACTAAAACCAAGAAAATCAATCACTTACTCCCTTGATAAAAACCAGTTAAACAAACTACGATTACGGGTCAATAAAACGACTTAAAATGGCTTGCGAGGAATAAAAAAGTAAAGATAAAGCCATAGAGAGATATATTAATGTTAAACAGTTGAATAAAATTTGCTCAAACGATTCCAACCGATTATAGTTATTCTTAGGATGAAATAATAATAATGATAATAAAACGTGATAATAAGATAAAGTAGAAAAAGAAAAATAATTTTTACCACAATACTGTAGTGATACCAAAGATGGTTGGTGATGAACTTGTCTGAATGGGTGTAATGGTCAGATGGAAGCAGTTCACATAGCAGATTGTCAATGTTATCATCCAAATCTGCCAGGTTGAAGGACAAACATGGATCCTTCTCCAGACACTTGAACACGCACTCAGAGGAGTCTTGAACCAGTTCTGTACCAACAGTTGTAATGTTCAAATAGTAGCCTTTGTGGGCAAGGAAATTAGCGAAGACAAACCCAACGGTTGGCGTTTGTCCTGTGTTTTGATAAAGAAATGAATATGACCAATTAAAATGGTTTCGACTTATACTTTCTTAAAAAGATGATGTAGATATCAGGCAAAAAGCAAAAAGGAAGAAAAACAACACCTTTTGAAGTCTTCACAGAACTCGCCGATACAACCAGAGCAAGAAAATTGGCAGATAAATAGAAAAAAGCCATCATATTCTTGTAGCTCAAAGAGAAATGATTTTCATGGTGGTACACGATTTCGTAATGCCACAGACACGCAACATTAAGTTTTTTACGTGGTACGATGTCTTGTCATTAGTTATTAATTTGTTTTCTTTTTCAGGCGTTTGGCCTCCTGATTTACTCCTGTTTGTCTTCCCCTGGAAATGTTTTCTAGCACCCCTGGGTTTCTCTATTTCTCTCTCTAGTTCCTGTTATTTTAGCGCTCTAGGTTTTGATTGTAAATTCAGGAGAAAAATAATGGATCAGTAGAGCTCCAGTTGAGCTCGTTTTAATTCTGCTGTCACGGAAAGTTTCAGAAAATAACGGGAACAATAATCGAAAAGTGCTCCAACATGACAGGTCTTTCCTGCAAGGGAAGAAATATGATTTTTGAAGTCTGCGCACAACTCGCCGATACAAGCAAACAAGAAAATTGACAGATACATAGAAAAAAAGCCATGTTATTCTTGAAGCTCAAAGACAAGTGATTTTCATGGTGATAAACGATTTCGCAATGCCACAGACACGCAACATTAGGCTTTTCCATGGGCTTTGCAAACATCTGCTTGAACAGTTAATGACACGATATCTTTTGTCATCAATTATTATTTTGTTTTCCTTTTTCGGGGGTTTTGTTTCCTGTTTTGCTCTTATTTGTCTTCCTCTGTAAATGTTTTATAGTGCCCCTGGGTTTCGTTATCTTTCTTTTTCCTAGTTGCTATGGTTTTAGAGCGCTCTACTTTTTGTTTGTAAATTCAGGAGATAGGTAATGGTACAAAACAGTTTCAGTTATTGAAATCAGCTCGTTCCAATTCTGCTGTCACGGAAAGATTCAGGAAATAATGGAGCGTCTGTTTATTCAATTTTTTTTGTACTTGTCTAGCTTTATTGCTTGCAGACAGCGCTGGGTGGGTTTTTGTTATTTCTTTAGGCACGTTTTAAACTTTCCTTTAACGGGTTTGTTTCCACGGTTTTACGACGCTCAATTGAAAAAGCTCCATCTTGAGCCTTACGATTTGCATTGAAAACATTAAAAAAAAATCTTTATTCTGATTGGCTTAGATAAATGTAGTTTTCAGGTAAAACAATACAGAAGAGATGTAATGCAAGGTCCTAGATGGGGTAGGGGGGGAGGGGGAAGAGGGGACGGGGTCTTCATACAGCTAAAATTAAAAATGAAGGCCAGCCAACAGTTAAACTGTCGCTCTAACAGTTTGATACATCAAACCTTGTTTTGTTCCCCCCCCCCCCCACCCCTTGCCTCCATTTATAGCACACTGGAATTTTCTAGACTACCGGAAGCATTTTACTGAGTAAATAGGTGAATAAATAAATGAAATGTTTTCAAAGAACTGGTCAAAAGTAGCATTTGAACTAAAAATCATTTGATATTTTTGTATCTATTTTAGTGCTATGCCATGCATATAGTACATTCACTAATATTAGGAATTTACATTAGGCGAGTTATGATTTTAGGCTCTACAAGAGTTTTGATCACTGACCAATGCAGTCCACGGCTATTTAACTGTGACATTGCCATGAGTAAGATTTTTGAATGCAGACCAGTTAAGAACAGAACCATGAGGTACGCTGCATTTGTGTACTGAGCGGCAATGTCGCACCCTATGCGAAGCACCAGGGCATATGCGATTATCATTCTAGAAGACTTTCATTGGCGCACATTCAAAGTATTAGCGCTCGTCTTGTCAGCCTCTTAATGTTTGAAATTTCTTTGGGATCTTGAAACCTCGAAACTTCTTCTCAAGTGTCATGAATGACTTAGAACAGAGAAGAAAAGTTTTATGTTGTTAAGGCTGCTTACAATAAAACGAGTAACTGTCTTAACTTTATGACAAACACCGGTCACCTAAAAATTTACATCTTATTTTAATGTTTCATCAAACAACTGAGTAAATAGGTGAGTAAAAAAATGACATGTTTTCCAAATAAGTGGCCAAAAGCAGCGTTTCAACGAAATATCTTCTCATGTTTTGGTATCTATTATAGTAATAAGCCATGCATATGGTACATTCACTAATATTAGGAATTTACATCACGCGAGTTACGATTTTAGGCTCTGCAAGAGTTTTGATCACTGACCAATGCAGTTCAGGGCTCTTCAACTGCAACATTACCATGAGCTGCGTTAACTTTATGGCAGACACCGGTCACCTAAAAAATTTACCTCTTATTTCAATACATTTATCAAAAAACTAAGTAAATATGTGAATAAATAAATGACTGAAGTATTTTCCAAATAACTGGCTAACTAACAGCTTTGGTATCTATTTTAGTACTATGCCATGCATATGGTATATTCACTAATATTAGGTATTTACATAACGCGATTTATGCTTTTTGGCTCTGCAAGAGTTTTGATCACTGACCAATGTAGTTCACGGGTCTTCAACTGCAACATTGCCACGAGTAAGATTTTTGAATACAGACCAGTTAATAACAGAACCATAAGGTATGCTGCAATTTGTGTACTGAGCGGCAATGTCGCTTTCGGACAGAACTTTATCCCAGATGTTGAAACTTGCCAATCGGCCATGAAAGGTTTGGTTAACATGATCAAAGCCTCCGCCAATAGAGTCTTGCTCTTGTCCAAGCACCAGGAAGCCGCCAGCCTTAAGTGCGTAATTCTTAGTGGCATGATTCGTTACCTGTTCTGTAAATTGACCATCTTTATAGAGTTTCGTTACTCCTTGAGTGTTTTCCCAGGTGAGACACAGGTGTTGCCAGGTATCATCGTAGAGATTTGTCGAGGTAAAACTGGAAAAAAAAAAAAACAAAAAAAACAATAAACGAAACAAAGCAAAACAAAACAAAAAACAAGACAAAAAACAAACAATATAAAATATATTTGATCATTCAAGACCTTCCTTTTTCATTGTCACTAAGTTAGTCAAGAGAGTTATTCAGTCTGTTAGTCCGTAGGCAGTCAGTTTATAGTAATATGTAAGAGGCTTGTCAGTCAGTCAATCAATCGTTTATCAATGACTTAATCATTCATACATTCAAGCTTCGATTTGTTCAGTGTTTTCATTCATTCAGTCAATCTCTTATTCATGCAATTACTCATAAAATAGAGATCTCACTCACAGTAGAATCTCTGTGGCTCAGAGCGCGGAATCCGAAGGTTTGAGGCTCGATTCCTCATGGGAACTCAGAATTTTTTTCTTTGTCCCACGCTCGTGACAAGACGAAAAACATTTCTCTACTTATAAAATGTTTAAATCAACGTATCATCTGAGCTACTATTTTGAAAGCCGAGTCGGTTAAGAAACCTCATCCTTTTACGGCTAGAACCGTAATAAGCGAGTCCTCGTCACTTTAAAGACGACTGTTGAGCCCTATTGAGCAGAGGGATCTAAATCATATTTTAAAAAAGGATCCGAATATTTATATGCAATGCCACAGGAAAATACTTCTAGATCTGTTTTTGTCAAAGATTAACATATTTGGTATTTAAATCATGATAAGGAAAGATAAAGAAGCTTAACGCTTTCCGTTTGTTTGTATGTTTAACTTTCTCTCTCCAAGCGTTAGGAAGAAGTCGATCGTAGCATTTCCTGTATAGTAACTTATTGTGGCTCGAATAAGAAATTCCTCAACTGACTTCTAATTCTAATATACGCAGCATTACCCGAACGGATTGTTGCCAACATAAAATCGTGTCAATGTTGGATGAATTTCGAAAATCATGTCATTGTCATGTTCACTGGCATAGCTGACGAATATCTGCTTCCCTTGGTCTTGAACAAGTTTGATAAAAAAACACGACGACAACTGGCTGAGATCTGAAGTTATGGCTGGATGCTTCATGGCGTAATTTTCTGTAGAACGCAGCTCCGGAAACACCATAAGGTACTCTACAACAGAGGAAATGATTTGCAAAAATTTTTAGACAGTTGTTTGAGCAACTGCGCTTTCTTTAATTAAATTTTCCTATTTAGAAGTATACACTATTTGTATAAATGTTCTAGCGTTCTTCAAGAATGCCACACAGTGTTCATTTGTAGGCAACATAGAATAAGACTCAATCCCGTCTTGTTGCCAAGCTTTGAATGATCCGCAGTTCTACCCAGGTAACTTGTAATTTGCCCCCGGTTTCTTTGCAAAGTAGCTGGTTCGGGCGCGCTCTCATCAACTATCTAAGGCCATAATGTAATTAACAATGTAGAATATGAAGATCGTCGTTTACGCGTCATGGTTATTGCATAGGGTAAAGAAGTCAAAACACGAAGTTATCATTCACTAGTGAATAGAATGTAGGACGCGTCTCTTAGCCCATTCACCTCTTTTGTGTTTGGGTGCAGCCAAGTGTGTGCGTGTGTGCGAGCGCGCGCGTTTGTGTCTATTTTTTGCCTTCGTCACTAAACCACCACTTTTTTACCTCATTCGCTATAAAGAGTGTTTGGGAGTAAGTTACACATCTCTGTAATTATCCGATAGCTATACTAATTAACAAATAGAAAGGCCTTGACTGTGCTCCATTCTGTTGTAAAGCACGGAGGAAGAGGCTAGAGCAGGAAAGAAGTGTAAGGAGATACACAAGACGTAGAGGAGTGTTTCTCCCCACTTCTTTGAAGACGAAACTATTGAAACTTTGTGAACACGAAACTATATATACTATACGTGTGTTAGATGTGTTTGATATTTATTACCGTACCTAAGCTTACGTGAAAACCTTCAAAAGTCGGACAGTTCACTTCGTTTCCTCTTTGAGGATTTTTGCGTTATAATAACGTCAATCACAGCGCTTGGCATATTTATACAGACCTTTTTTGACTACTCTATTGCTACTTATCGGCACGCTTGTTCCGAAAATTCATTTTCAATTCACGAAAAAAAAAGGCTAAAGAGAAGTCCGGAAAATGGTCAAGCATAGAAGAAATTGGCGCTCAGCTCCATGTTTTGTACTCTGATAGAGCACGCTCTTTCTACCAATGACAGGGCGCGTTATATCCGAACTTTTTCTAAAAGATGACACGTTTGCATGAGTGACTGTTTTTTCTGAGTCTTGCCTTCAACCTGCCACCGC